TGGAAGACGAAGAAATGTCAACTAGTGTTATGTCAAGTTCGGATGAAGAAACGGTGTTTGGTTCGGATGAAGAAACTGTATCAGGTTCGGATGAAGAAGCTGTGTCAAGTTCGGATAAAAAAGTTGTATCAAGTTCGGATAAAAAAGTTGTGTCAGGTTCGAATGAAGAAGTTATGTCTCAATCCAGTAATTTTGTCCAGTTTTCAAGTTCAAGGACATCAGACATGAGGGTTAGAGTTGCAGATGCCCAATCATATCTTGATAAAGTTAAACATCAATTACAGGATCAGCCACAGGTTTACAACTATTTCTTAAGAATTATGAACGAGTTTAAGTCTGGAGACATGGATTTTCCAGGAGTTATCACCATGATTTATTACTTATTTCATGAACATCTGAATTTAATCAATGACTTGACCCACTTTTTACCACCGGGTGTCGGATTTGAAGTTCACAAAAATGATGGAGGCTGCGATGTGAGAGTCTTTTATGACATGCCAGTAGACTAATTCCGAGTATATAATTTATTTGTATCATGCAAACAATAGAGTTTATTTCCAATGTATATAGCTATTAAAAATTAAAAATAAATGTACTCGTATATATTTTTTTACCAAATGTAAGACACATTAATAAATAATTACACGTAAAAAATCTGTTGAATTATTTTTCTTTATTGATCACGTCGAATAGTAAGTATAACAGATAATTTGCGTTTCTCATGACTCTTCGTTTCTCAACAAAAATCCATTAGAGATATGATAAATTAATAAGTGACACAATTATTTGAATTAATTTTTTCCAAAAAATGTGATATTAAATAGATTTATTCATTCATTCTTTCACATAAAATACGATTATGCGATAGCGGAAAATCTAAACTCATCGACTCTTCCGAACAATACGATACGTACCTGACTCATCTCGAAGATGTTGAAGCAAATCTCGACCGATGATATCAGCACGAGCACTCCGATCACGGGATTGTACATCTGCCTGAGCGTCTCGCAGAGACTGAGCGACAGAAACGTAGCGCAAGCAGCCCTCGGCACTTATTAAACGAAATCACAATGAATCGGAAAGTATTGACTACAGAATAAATCGAAAAATCAGTTTTATTAAAATCGATTAAAATTACATAGAAAACAAAGTCAGCTATATAAGAACAGCTGTAAAATGTGTAACGTCTTTGTGAACATTAAAAATAGAATTTAACATTAAACAATTTAAGTAATTCGATCTAAAATTCGAGTAATTCGATTTAAAAAATTCAAGTAAATTAATTTACTATAGAAAAAAAAGCACTGCAAGATGTGTAACTAAAGTCACATTTAAAGGTAAAAAATTTAAGAAAATGAATAAATAAAATAAACCAAATGAAACTAAATTTACTCGCCATCTAGCGGTGGATGCTCAAAGTAATATTATAGTATTTAAAGTCGTTGAAAATTGGTTTAAATTTTTTTATGCAGTTGAATCGTTATTTACGAGTAGTTTCAAATTTGCTCGATACTTGAAACACAATTTTAATGGAAAAAGCGCTGTAAGTGAGTCAAAGTTAGTCAAAGTGAGTCAAAGTGCGTGCAAAACACGGACTCGCGTGCAAACTGCAAATCGAGATATTTTTTGTTTCTCTTCGCGTATATGACTCGTTGATGATCGATACGCGATATTTCTTCGTCGTTGACGCTGCGTAACGTTTACTGACTCGATATACGATACTATGCGATCTTTTGAGAAATGAGATTGATAATTGGGGGATATTTTAAATCACTCGACTTGAGTTTTGTTGCAGTAATATAAGAGTGAATTTTATTGAACACTCATTATTTACAAAATTAAAATTATTATATCAATTACTTGAATCAACGCAAAATGTCGAAATGAACGTATACGTATACGACGTAAGAGTCATCTGACTTCACGCTGTGTTTGATTCAATATCTTACTTAGATATATAGTTAAAACGTGAAAGGGACGCACACTTTTTCGTTATAGCTCCGTCTTTATCTTCATCCCCCGTAACGTGTAAAGTGTCGCTCTACATTTTTGTTTTAAAATTAAATATTTCCATACAACAGTCCTTAATAAATAAATAATAACATGGAAATGATATGTTTTTATGTAGAAAACATTTCTGTCGACATTTTTGATTCATTTTAACGTTAAAAAACTACTGTAATTCTATGCATCTAATAGGCCATTACGCCCAACTTTAAACTTATACTTATGGCTTTTACGAAGTAAACTCTAGACCTAAAAATCAAACAATTTTAGTCCTCTTTCGAGTTCTTAATTTTAAATATGTACATCGATAAAATTTTTGGTTAATAACGTTGAGAGCCTTTCAACACCAACGCCGGGTGAAAAATCCGCAAAATCCTTGCATGATCCCCACAGAAGTTTCGCTCTCCGCGGAAGAGCCTTCACTGGCTGTTGTCTGGGCGAGCTGGCGAAGATGTTTTTCGTGAAGATCCAGAAGCATACGTGCGACGCGGAAGTGACCCTCTTGTAAGGCAGTACTGCAAGCAAACGAAAAGTGTCAAAATTATCGTCGCGCGAATTTAGCGAGAAGACCCAAAGCAATTTACCTGATGGCGTTGTAGCCTCCAGCCGGCTCGACCTCTATCTTGGCTCCTCGCTTTATCAGGGCCTTGACGATGCTCTTGTGACCCTCCTCGGCGGCGTATATAAGGGCCGTCTTGCCCTTCCTGTCGACCTCCTCGATCTCGGCGCCCCAGTCCAGCAGTATCTCGCAGATCTCGAGGTAGCCGCCGCGGGCGGCGTGATGAAGCGGCGTCATTCCCGCCTGATCGCGCTGCTCCCAGTCGAGGCCCGAGATCAGGTAGAGCCGGGTCAGTGCGGAGTCGCCTCGTTTCGCGGCGATGCTCAGCAAACTGCCGCCGCAGCCGTCGAGATAGCCGTCAGGGTGGGCGCCGTGGCGCAGCAGCAGGCCGACGCTCGTCGCGTGGCCTCTGACGGTGGCGTACCAGAGGGCGTCGCGGCCCACGACGTCGCAGTGATTTGCATCGGCGCCGTAGCTCAGCAGCAGTTCGCAGAGGTCCGATTGGTCGGCGTGGGCCGCGTTCAGCAGCGGTGTCATGCCGTTGCGGTCCGCCAGGTCGACATTGGCTCCTCGCGCCAGCAGAAGTTTGACGGTCTGCGGGAATTTAGAGATGCGAGCGATTAGAACACGGTGCAAAGTTTTTGAAACGGTAAGAGGTGTGCGTTGCAATGTATAAAATCATTTTTGACAGCATAAATTTTCAAAATAGGCATTAGAGCACATTGAGTTGAATAAACGAAGCTTTTTCCAGTCGAAAATTATAACGCCCTGTTATCCTGCTTGTTACAAAAACAATGATAATGTCGCAAGGTATTTAAAATTATTAGGCAACACCATAACTCTTGACTGATATCGATTATAAAAATAACAAATTATTTGGAATTATAAACCATTTTTGGATTTAGGACTAATAGAATAAGTTTAGGAAATATTTATTAGGAATTTCACGTTATGAAAATTTCAATTGTTAATAGGTCAATCATCCATTAGGAAATAGTCGATTACATCACATGATCACCACGGCTTCGCCTCGGCGTCATAACCCGCACGCACGGAAATTCAACTTTTGTGCCACGTGATGTATACAATTTTTCTGTATCTTGCGCCGAAAGAAAAAAATAATAAATTGATTATTAACGATATATCAGACAAGAAAATGCAACTTAATTCTGCTGTCGCGTAGCGCTTTAAACTTTCGGGTCATGCGCTTGCACCGCCCTCTTACAACCATCATATTATCATTAATATTAAGTGCGTGCGATCTATTTATTTACGTTGTCTGCTTGTTTATGTTTGCATTCGAGGCAAGCTTGCAACTTGGACAGGTAACAGTTGTCTATTATAGAATTCGTGTAGTCTGAATTTTTCATTTTAAGTAAAACGACTATGCTGACGAGTTGAAGTTACCATTAATGATAATAAAAGAATGAACAGGGAAGCCCGACATTTGCAAAAACGAGGAGAAGCCGAGTTTTTACTGGTCGGGGCTAATGAAAAATAATACAATCAATGGTGTAATAGAAAATAGATGAGAACAGGTAATAATTTAATTTCACAATAAAAAATCAGTTGTCATCTCTTGATTTGTTGACAGAAAAATTAAAAACGCAATTATTAAATGTACAATTAACAAAAATTTTTTCTAACGGATTAGTATCGCCTGCATTTATGTTGATTTCTTGATTATCAAGCTTCGTTTTTTTTGCAGGAATGTTATGCTCATTCGCTAGATTAAATTTGACTTTAACTGCTGGCTGTGCAAATAAATTAAGCTCCTATTGCAAATAAAACTATCAAAAATATATCGCAAATATAAAATGAAGATTTTTATTTTTTTTAATTTTATTGTATTTTATATCAATTCATGTGTAGGGAACAGTTATAAATGTTTAATATCAATAATTATTGTAGTTTATTCATGTATATTATTTCTATAAATAATAAACAATGATTGATTGTTTTTGAAAAAATAAACAAATTCATTGATTGTTTTCATTTTTCATATCATATATGCATCTATAAATACATAAGATGAATACAAGAGTGCGCTGCGAGCGCAGAGCAAAACAAGTAAACATTTGAAAGAGGCCGTAAAAGTCGAACTTTCGTTCGCAAAAACGCGCATGAAAGTCTATATTTTCGGCCGTAGGATACAGAAAAGTTATTTAGGAAAATTAACATGTAACTTTTATCAAAGTTTCATGCGTGACCTATTGTCTAGCATTATATAAAAAAAATTTCTTTACTCTTGATCAACTCAATTATCGTACAGCCAGACATGATTGGGGTATAGTTGATTGCAATAGGCCTACCCCCATAAAGACTTGCTAAACGATTTCATACTAATGTCAGCTTCTGAGTTATTTTTAAAATAAAAACAAGCGAATAGATGTTCATACATCTCGAAACGTTATAAATGTCAATTTTTCAATCACTAAGCCACGAGGGCACTTCGAGACAAAAAAAGAAATCTCCTTACCTTGGCGCATTTCTTATTTTTCCAGTGTCTGGCAGCTATGGCGAGGGCCGTCCTGCCGGCCTTGTCGACGGCGTCGATCGCCGCGCCGCGCGCAAGAAAGTAGTCCAGCATCGTCCTGTCGCCGTTCTCGGCCGCGTACATGAGGGCCGTGCGACCCTCGTCCTCGTCGCGGCCGTAATCGACCACGTCGACGCCGTGCCAGCGCGCCACCAGCGCCCGGACGATCTCGAGGTCGCCCGCGGCGGCAGCGAGACGCACCAGCCTCGCGCCGTCCTCGCGCGTGTACAGATTCAGATCGAACAGGCCGCTGTCTCGCAGCAGGAACTTGGCCACCTCGGTCTGGCCGAGTCGGCAGGCCCTGCTCAGGCAGGCCATGCCCAGGTGGCGATTCGGCAGCTCGTGCTCGAACGCGATCATCCTCTGCCGACTCCTCGTGCTCGTCGTGGCTCCGGCGATTGGGCAAAGAGTGCAGCGCATGTCGCACCCGCACTGATGATTGCACGACGTAGAGAGAGAGATAGAGAGGATTGGAAGAAATTGACTCGAGAGACTGAAATCGCGTGGACACGATGCTCAACGAAAATCGAACGAAAAACTGACGAGGAATGAAGAATATCGGTGCATTTATAGGCTGTGCTTTGAATTTTTTAACGTTATCTGGCCTCGCAGTTCCCCAAAACCTTAGGATTTAATTCATCTGCATGAATTAGATATGATTAGGTAAAGCCGCTCGTTGAAAAGCCATTATGCATCGTCTCCTAATGGATAAGCCTTTATGTAATTTCAGATAAAAAAGTATCTTCCCACACGAAGTGACTCGATACAATTTTTTGAAGAAAATACGTTCTGGAAAGAAATCTCATAATTAATGTTCAATTCAAAGTAAGACGATGAAATTAAAGTAACAAATATTGAACATTATCAAATGCAAAAAATGACAAATATGATTCAATACTATTAAATTTGAACATTTCGATTCAAAATACTAATGTTTCAATATACTGATTTAGTATTTGCGTTATTTGTACAAAAAATTACGTTTTCAATCATAATTAATTATACAGTCTCCGTCACTCAATGGTGAGCGTCTTTATCTGCAAGTGATAAAGGAAAAATAATTGTACATTAATGCCTGGGTTTGAAAACATTATAGCAATGCTGCATCATTTTATCTCAGCTATTATGACTATTATGGCTACCATGACATAACATTACGCTCTTATCTTCACGTAAATTTTAATTACGATAAATTAGTCGATCAACGAGTAATTTAATTTACGACATTTAATTATTGATTAATAAGCTGACAATTTATTCATCACTGCTCGAAGTGAACCCCGGCAGCCCGTGAGATTTTTAATACATCCAATTGCGTCTTAGTCGTTCATAGTAATGCCTCCGAGTTTTCTTATCTAGTTTCGAGCTAATTACACTCGCGTGTATAATGGGTTTACTACGAAAATTCGAAATCAACCAAATTTTGAAGTCGTAATCGAAAGACGTCGCTTAAAAGAGTATTTTCTTTCAATCGTAAAACTTAAAAAAGATACACGGAGTATGTTATTAAAAAACAAACTTTTGTATAAATTATTGCAAATTTAATTATGATTTTTAAATTTTCATCGTTCGGTATAATTCTGACTAAAATATTTGCCCAATCGTGAACTTTGCAGTATTGAAATCTTCGAATTAAGATAATTTATAGTATATTACTTGACAAGGGGCGAAAGTCGAACTTCCGTCCCTGCGAGGTTATGCACCCGAAGCGAAGCCGAGGGTGCAAGCTCGCAGAGACGGGCGTTTGACTTTTATCCCGAGTCGCGTATACGATTTTTCTTTATACGATTTTACTTTCGAGCGGGGATAAAGAAAAATCGTATACGCAACTCGGGACAAACAACAAATATCATCAATAATAATGTTTATTAGTACATAACTAAAATTATTAGTAAATAATTGTAAAAGATAGATAACTATCGCGTTAATAAAGTACAAACGATCCCGTAAAGTATAAGCATGAAAATATTAGTACCATATGTTTTCTTCTTGTGTCCCACCTATATATTTTTAATTAAATTGAGAGTATTACTCGATTTAAAGTTGTATTAAATATTTATTTTGTAAAATTTTGAAAATTTGAATTAAGTAATTTACTCAATCTGAGTAGACGAGTAGAAACTTGAGTGACCAAGAATAACATTTAAAATTGAAAGAATTTATTAAAATATATTATAAAAATGTAATGAAATGTGTACATCAAATTATGGTACTACGATAGTTAATCAATCTGGCATATGCACGTCATAAAATAAATCAATCCAATTCATCTATTGCATAGTCGAAACCAAACGATAATTAAAATGTAGGTTGCCGTAGTCATGGATATAACTTTCGCGCGATATTGACAGGAAGCAAAAGTGTTACTTTCGTCCCCGAATTTGAAGATGAAAGTACGTACTTTCGAGCATGGGATGAAGAAAAACTAATTATTACCTATAAAATTTCGAACTTGGGTAAATATGATTCGAGAAAAATTTTTTCTTCGTTCTTCATTATGGATAATTCGAAACACACTTTGCAAGTCAAATTATAAACACTCATATTATATACAATTCTTTGGAAAATTCTATCAATGCTGTACTGCGGATGAGAAAAAAACTTTAATACAGATTTTTTATCGATTAAGTTTATTGACATACTTTACAACTTAAGTTTATTAACATGACTTAAGTTTATTGACATATTTACAATAGACGCTGGACATGCCTAGTATCACTAGACATACTTACAATATTTACAAGAGCAGACGCGTTCCGGAACATTATTTCTTTCTTTTCTTTCCTTCTGTTCCTTCTCCATCCCATCTATTTTATTCTTATTCCAAAGAATGTACACGTTCGACCCTTCCGAAGTTTCTCCAGGTGATCCGCGATTACTCGCGCGACGTCGGAGTGTCCCGCGCGCATAGCCGTGCTGCAAGAAGCAAATGAAAAAAAAATTAGCCCTCGAACCAATCGTTGTGTCTCGCGGGGCATCGAGATGGAAAAAAAACAAATATTCACCTGAACGCGTTGAATCCACCGAAGGGCTCGTAGTTGACGCAGGCGTTCCTCTTGAGCAGCGCCTTGACGACGTTCACATGGCCGGCCTGAGCGGCGAGTATCAGGGCCGATTTGCCCTCCTTGTCGCACCTGTCGACGTCGGCCTTGCCGCGCGCCAACAGAGTCTCGCAGATCGTCGCGTAGCCCTTGAGCGCGGCTAGATGCAGCGGCGTCCTGCCGTCCTGATCGAGATGCTCCGGGTCGAGGCCCGTCGCAGCGCAGCGATCGAGAAACAGACGCACGAGGCCGAGGCTGCCGGTGCGCGCGGCGATGCTCAGGAGACTGCCGCCCGTCTCGTCCAGATAGTCGTGCTTGCAGCCGTGGCGCAGCAGAGTGGCGGCGCACTCGCAGCGACCGCGTACAGTGGCGAGGACCAGGGCGTTGCGACCCTGCCGGTCCTTGTGCTGGATATCGGCCCGGCAGCCGATCAGCATCAGGCACAGATCGTCGTAGTTGGCGTAGGCGGCGTTGAGCAGCGGCGTCATGCCGTCGCGGTCCTCGCGATTCGGGTCGGCTCCGCGCAGTAGCAGATACTGCACCACCTGCGAAGGATCGAAATTCGTTGGAATTATGCATTACTTGGAAATATTTACATCGAGGGGATCGACCTGTGTCAAAAGCTTAAGGGCTCAAAGGTAGCTTAAAATCGAAAAAATTTTTATTTCATTTTCGAATAGGATTTTTAAAATGAAAAAAAAATTGTGCTTCAGTGTTTGTGCAGGGTAACCCAAGGGTTGGATCGGCACGCCCGAGGTTGTGACCGTAACCATTGATGTTCTGAAGAAGTGTTCGCGACCCTGGTGCTGTAACTCAATCGGTACGCTCTGAATATTACGACAAGTGACCTGCACTTCGTAAAAACGTAAAACGTCAGAAAACGCAAAAGAAGAAAAAATTTAACACGCAAAGTATACGAAAATGGCTCACGGAAACAGCTGTATCTCACAGAATGATCAAAATTTTGAAGTTTCGAAAAAGGCAATGGAAAGGGGACAAAAAATCCTATTCGAAAATGAAATAAAAATTTTTTCGATTTTAAGATAAAAAGGAAATTTTTTTCGTATTAGTAAAATATGTTCATGTTCTATACCTGATTGACAAAAGATCTTCTACCCAAGCTCTGGAGAACCAATTGGATCACTTCTTTCATTTAACGAAATATTGTGCTATAAAATCAGTGGCCCTATGATCGTGAAAATAGTTTTTCATCAATATTCATCTATGGGGTGTGAAAATCTTCAGAAAAATACCCTCATTCACTTGAGCGGAGCAGAATTTAGAAAAATTATGTACGACTACGAAAATTTGACAATTTTTAAGAAAATCAATGTTTAATTAACACTAAATGCCGCATTTAAGCTCTTGAAAGAGAAGCAAACTTTTTTTTCGAATTCTGCTCAAGTGGATGAAGGTACCCCACAGATCAATATTGATGAAAAACTTTTTTCACGATCATAGGGCAAGTGACTTATAACACAATATTTAGTTACTTGAAAGAAGTGATCCAATTGGTTCTCCAGAGCTTGTCTAGAAGTTTTTTTTGTCAATCAGGTGTAGAATGACATATTGTGCTATCACAAAAAGAAAATTTCCATTTATATAGCTATTTTTGAATTTAATCTCTTAACTCGAGTACGTCCCCTTGAAATTAAAAATAAACAAATTTACATGAATTTAAAAGCATCAAAATTGAAAATTTCATCGTTAATAGAAATAAATCCAGTTATGGCACACTAAGTTTTTAGTGACATTGCATCTAAAAACTTTAAAAAAGAAAAAATCAATGCTTTAAAAGTTTAATTATGGTTTAGAAATCATGTCTGATAATGATATCAAAGCATAAGAGGTCTTTTGAAATAAGAAAGATAATAGTTTGAAAGTAAGTTTTCTCCCTTGATAAATTTGAATTTTTAGTAGAAAAGAGATTTTTGAAGTTTTGACATTCAAAAATGAGTGCAACAATAATGTTGCTTAGATTTTATAAGAGGGGAAAATCGATTTTGCGAATACATTTTTTTGTTGTATTTTTACGTAGAAGCCAATCGAATTTTTTAATTTAAAATCCACTCGCATTAAAACTAACAACACCATTCGAATCTACGAATAAACTCCTAACAATTTACAAATTGAAATGCTTATGAAACCATTGGGGATATTTTCTCATTGTCAAAAGACTCACTTTTCTATATTTTCACATTCAAAATACTTTAAATATGGGCAATTACATCGTTGAAAGTTATTTATGAGGCTAAAACTAATAACATCATTCTGTGCATTGAAAGACTAATTTTCCAATATTTTATTGTCACCCCGATTTTTTAACTGCAAAAATATAACTTCACAAGACGTCGATACCTGTAAAAATCACTTTTTTGAATTTTTGAGGAAAGGAAACTTTCAAACTATTATCTTTTTGTTTCTAGATTAACCAAGTTAAGATTACCACCCTAATTTTAATTAGCGCTTGAACTCGTGCAATTATTTTTATTTTGACTAGCTTTAATTTTGACTGAATTTTCATAATTTTTTGTCGTACAATTTACGCAAATATTATATCTGTACGAAAACATTAACTTTCAATAAAATCGTCCAAATTTGAGCAGAGAATCGAATCGTTTTCGTTCATCGTTTCACGTAAACAAACAAATCAGTACACCGATGGATTAATTTTCAACGAAGAATTAACACAAAATTACTTTCATTACTTTTAAATTTAAAATCTGATTTTACGTATTTGCGAGAGTATGAAAATACGCGACACGTTTTACCTTTTCGTATTCCGGGTCCTTCCAGCGATTGGCCGCGATCGCCAGGGCCGTCCTACCGGTGCAATCGGTGGCGTTTATGTCCGCGCCCTTGAGGTAGCAGCTGTGCACGAGGCTGAAATCGCCGATCTGCGCCGCGTATATGAGGGTGGTGCGTCCCTCGCTGTCTCTCTCGTGGACGTCCGCTTCCAGATTCATGAAGGTCAGTGTCATCAGCACCATGATGATGCGCGCGTTTTTGCTTTATTTTAATTCTCGATCGAAAGTGTTTGCGCGATCCTCGCGCACCGAACTCGCACCGAGGCCTGTAGAGAAAATTCGAACTGCTCTGCTCTCTTCGGGAGCGGAAAGAAAACTGACGAGAGATCGAATGTTGCCCGGTATTTATGTGAGGGGGGAAGAAAAATTAAAAGCGATGGTAGGAAGCTGTGGTCGTATATCATAGCGATTTTTATGACCGTACGACAAAAATTCCAGAAAATCCAAAAGTTACACGCGAGACATTTGACTCTCTCGTTCTCGCATCAAATATCATTTTTTCCTTGCGGAAAATCGAGCAAGTGAGCTATGAATTCCGATTAGTGGGGTGGAAAGAATACTAAATTAATTTCTTTGCAATGTTTTGTTTTGTTTTTCAATTTATTGAATCCTCTACTGTCTTTCGCATTTTTAATAACAGAACGAAATTTGTCACTAATGATTATGATACATTAATTGTGATGATGATCGCTACTCGTCTTAATGGTCTAAAAATAAAAATTAACTATCTTATAAATACTCATTTTTGTTTTTATAATTAAATCTAATATATGCATTCACTTTAATCTTTGAAATTCGTATCGATAAATCATACTTTGTTTGTCAACACAAGTAGTCCTATATGCTTTCTTTTTCATTATGTTTTTATTTTTGTCAAAAAATTAGCACTTATACACTCGGCGTGCCTCAGTCTTAACTTCGCATCATCAGCAACGGTATACACGATCGGTACATAATAATTTTTTTATCTTTACTTTTTTTGAAATATGTCAACATGAATCACACGCAATCTCTGAAATAAAAAGTGTCCAATCGAGATGCTCTGCCTTACGGTCAGTGAGCCTCTGTGAGATCAATGTGTTAAATAGGTTTTTTTTTCTTGTTCATCTAAACATTACACTTTTATACACACGTAATCATAATGTCGAAGATTATACATTCCAAATTTATGATCTACGTTTTCAACTTTATATATATATATATACTATCATCACGACGATGAATATCTTAAATTTTTAAAATTTTCTGTTCGACTTATTATCTACTAATTCACTTCAGATTCATAATCATGGTTCTTATATAATTATTACATAATTATTAAATTAATTTAAATCGTTTAATCGATCAAAAGATTTGGTATCTCGTTTTTCGAGGGGGATGATTATTGTTTTTTATTTGGTTAATTGTAAACGTCCAAAACCACACACGTGTGCGTGTGCGGGGGTATGAGTGCAACCTCCCTACGAACTTAAAATCACATTTTATTTATCATCTTTCATCACTTTTGCGTCGCTTCGCCTCCTGCGCTTGCCACTACTGTAATTATTATTATTATTACCGCTAACGCTACGATTACAACTACCACAGTGATAATTATTGTTACTGAGTTTACTCTTGCTAGTCGTTGCATTATGCATCTTTGGCGCTTGTTTGATTCTGCTCATAAACGGAAACGAGAAGAGTCGTCTGATGGACTTGCGTTTCTTGCTCAAGTAGCTACGCCAGTCGTGGGATGAGTTGTTGTTATTATTATTGTTGTTGTTGTTGTTGTTGTTGTTGTTGCTCGTGCCCTGGCCACCGTATATAGACGTCTCGTGCGTGCACTTGGCCAACAATAAATCCTGCCGAGAAAAAAATAAACAAAAAAATTAACGAACGTTACATAGAAAAATAGATCAGACGCAGTACCTGCTCCTATAAGGGTGTCTCCCTTCTGGGCTCGGCCCTCCATTGGAATCCGTTGACGCGCGTCGTCACGGGCTTGTTGCGATTGGTCGCGTTCTCGATGCCGTTGCGCACGCCGGCGACGAGGCGCATCGCCGGATTCGAGACCGAGACGAAGCCGTTCCTCTTGGGCTTGTTGTTGGCTCCGGACCCGGCGGAATTTCCGCCGGATGAGTTGTCCGCGGTGGACTTGCGCGCAGCCACCGAAGAGCTCTTGTTACCGAGTATGATGCGCATGTGGGTGTCGCGCGAGAAGTGCGACTCGGGCAATTTTCTCTCGGTGCAGGTTTCGTTGTTGCTCTGCTTGTTATTATCGCCGCTCGTCGTCGTGGTCGTCGTCGTCGTCAGGCCCAGCATCTCGTTGGTCAGCTCGAAGGGTTTGTTATTGGCCTCCTGATTCTTCTTGATGCAGATGGCGTCGTAGAGGGCGCCGGTCCTATCGTAGGCCGCCGCCGTGGCCAGTCTGTACCTCGTGCTGCGATCGCCCTGGAGCAGCGACACGCCCAGCTGCGTCTGTATGATGCTCGCCGCCGTCTGGGCCGAGGGTGGCGGCGACGACGACGACGAGCAGCCCCGCGTCGTCGTCGTCTTCTTGGACGTCGGCGAGTACAGGGGTATGAGGCCGTTGTCGGACGAGGACGGCGAGCGCGGCGGCGACGCGTAAATCGGGCTCTGAGGCTCGCTCTTGAGCGGCGACAGCAGCTTGCTCAGCGGCCGCGACGATTTCACGCCCCGCGAGCACTGCTGCAGCTGCTGCGTGAACGACATGCCGCTGCTGCTGGCCGCTGATGTCTGCTAGACGGAAGAAAAAAAGAAAGAAGTGTGATTAGAGAAAGGTGTCAATTTTAAGGTGTCGGTAAAGCCGTAAGAACAGATCGTATCGGTGGCTTTGTCATTGTAGACGGTCGAGAATTTTTTGGGAAATTCGATCAAGTGGTGTGGGCTCGTTGACACATGTGTTGACCTTTATTTGCTTTTTCACGCGGTTCTATTATTTAATACCGAGACTAGATTTTTACGCGTGAAATGAATCGGACAAGGCCGTAATTTAAGCGGTCGTTGACATATTGTTATGGTCATCTATGTAATGGGTGTCGTATTACTTTCGATATACAAACACTGTAGCTACTATAATCGAGCTTATCTCGAATGAAATATGCGTCGACGTAATATACTGTACAATTTTTTCACAATCCATCAAAATACTTTCGAAAAATTTAATTCGTAACATTACTATAGTTCCTAAAACAATGGACGCTCCGTTTTGCCATATGGCTGCATGATTTCGATATTGAAATTGAATACATTTCTATTATTCATGGTAAGCCGCCTTCCGTGCACACAACTCAGTAACTCGGCATTGGATAAGAGTCGACGTGTAAAATAGCAAATAGTGCACCCGCCAAGTCGTTTCAGGATTTTTCGACATTCTATATTCGATCGCGTAAATAAAAATAATGGCCCAGCTTACGCGACTCGATCCTTGATGAGCCGTCGCTTGAGCGGCGGCGGAGGCACTTGCTGCACCACCGATCATCTGTTGTTGTTGATGATGCTGCTGCTGCTGCTGCTGATTGATTTTGCTGCGATCGCTCTTGGTGCTGCCGGTGAGATTGCTGCTGGACTTGCTGTTGCTGGAGTTGTTGCCGAGCGAGACGCAGCTGCGTCGCTTCGTGGACTCGGGCGACTCGGCCGGGCTGTACTGCTGCTGCTGATGCTGATGTTGCTGCGATGACAGAGGATTCAGCACGGCCGAGGAGGGCTTCGTCTCGGTCGTCGAGTTGGACGTGACCGACGTTGCGCTACTGCTACCACCTGTGCAGCGATAAATAATTATAAAATCGGTATTTTATTTTTTCGCTCCTCTACTATTCGTTAGCCACAGTGATAGAAATGAAAATCTAATGCCGACAATTATCTTAATTCCCTGACGGAAATTTTTTTCATCAGGAAGTTTTGTAAAGTCTAAAAAAGCCTTAAAAATCTTACGAATGTTCGGATTTCGTACACCTGATTAATGATTTTGAAGAGTTGATAAGAGTTTTTAAAAATTCATAAGACTTTGTGTGGAGACTCGATTCTTGCCGCAAGATCAAGATAACTCTTGGCATTAGATTTGTTATTTCTCTATCGGTGTACGCGCGCACGTACCCGGTCTCGAGGATCTGCGCTGATGATTGGCCAGCGCCGCATGCTCCTCCAGCAGCCTCACCACGGTGTCGTGGCCGCTCTTCGCCGCGACCTTGATGGCGTTGCGGCCGCAGTGATCCGAGTGGCTGGGGTCGGCGCCGTGTCGCAGCAGCGCCTGCACGCAGCTCTCGTGGCCCTCCTGCGCGGCGATGCCCAGCGCCGTGGCGCCCTGATTGCAGGTGTGATCGACCGTAGCGCCGTGCTCCAGTAGCAGCCTCACCACGGCGGCGTGGCCCTGCCAGGCGGCCGAGTGCAGCGGCGTGCGATTCTCCGTGTCGCGGGCGTCGACGCAGGCCGCGCCCTCCTGCAGCAGCAGCGAGACCATCTCCACGTGGCCCTGCCACGAGCTCACGTGCAGCGCCGTTCTTCCCTGTGAATGAGATAACGACGATGAAGAAATGTAAACGATTACCATGCGCAAAACGAGTAAGAGAGGGAAAAATTTTAGATTTCGATATCATCGTGAAATATTCGAAAAAATTTTGAGGATGTTGTTTGATCCATTCTATGACATCTTTGTTCGATAAACTTTTCTCATATGGTAACAGTTTTTTTCATGTCAACGCAAATCAAAAACTACCTATGAAGTTTAAAATAAAACATTATAGAACAAAAATTTCTTAGAATGTTCTTAGAATCGATCATAAGATTTATACAGCTAATTTTTAGGACAATCATTTTTCCTTTTCTCTTTTGACTCTTAAAAGGAGCTTCGAATTTTTTTACCATCTTTTTACCTTCACCACTTCATTTACGTATAGGTAGTATTACATGTTTATAGAGTTTATACGGAAATCGGAAGTTAAAATGAGATGAAAGCTCAACTCACCTCGGAATCTCGGCTCTCCACGTCGGGCCTCGCGTGCTCCAGCAGAAATCTCGCCATCGCCAGTCGATTCTCCAGCGCCAGGATGTACAGTATGCTGCGCCCGTCTGCGTCCTTGGCGTCGATGTCGGCCCGGTGCTGCAGCAGCACCTTCACCGTGTCGTAGTGGCCCTCGAGGGCGGCGAGCCTCAGTGCCGTCTTGCCGTCGTGCGCGCGCTGATCGATCGGCGCCTCGTACTCCTTGATCAGCAGCTCGACGAGCTGCGTGTGGCCCTCCTGCGAGGCGAGCATGAGGGCGCCCTTGCCGTCGTTGTCCGCCTCGTCGAGCTTGGCGCCGCTCTCCACCAGGGCCTCGCACACGTCCTGGTGGCCCTCGAACGCGGCGTAATGTAGCGGCGTCCAGCCCGAGTTGTCGCGGTGCTGCTCGTCCAGGCCCCGGTCGAGCAGCTGCTCGACGACGTCGCAGCCACCCTGGGCGGCGGCGACGCTCAGCACGGTGCGGCCCTCGTTGTCGATGCTGTCGACGTAGCAGCCCCAGAACAGAAGCAGCGCCACGACGGCGCCGTGGCCCATGCTGGCGGCGGCCCAGAGCGGGGTGCGCCCGGTGCCGTCGCAGTGATCGACGTCGGCGCCGAACTCGAGGAGGAGCTCGCAGACGTCGCGATGGCCCTCGAACGCGGCGACCAGTAGCGGCGTCATGCCATCCTTGTCCTGATGATTCACGTCGGCGCCGCGCTCGAGCAGCAGACTAACCACCTGATTCAGTAAAAAGTAATTAGCATACGTAAATCTTTTTCGTTTGTAAAAAGTCCGCTGAGTCCGATAAAATTAATTATGCATAATTGATATTCAAAGATATCTTACAAGATGGTATACAGAGATATCTTAAATTTTAGTATGCAAAGATACTTTACTTATTGACGTTCGGGGATGTCTTGTGTTATTAATATTCAGAGATTTTATGATAACATCAACATACAAGAATGCCGATTTATTTAGTATACAAAGATATTTAGTTAGTGGATTACAATAACTACTTTGTATACCGATTTTATTATGATGACTTTTACAATTAATATAAGTACGAAAACTTGCGCATGAAATAATTATAAAATCTAAATCGAATAAAATTTAAAATTATAACGTAAAATTAACTCTCTTTTTATAAAGTTGTAAAATAATTAACAATTATAAATTCATCATTAAAATATTACTAAAAATATATTTACTTAAATACTTATACGTCTAGGTATAAGGATATCCAATAATAAATGATAGATAATGAACTACTAATAAGAATGTAAAAATGTACATATCATAAGTAATGTATAGTAACGTTCAATATAGAAGAGAGTTTTCGTTTGTTTTTTTTTACTTATGATAATTAATTATCATTGAATAAATTGACTAAAACCATTGGACATTTTTTTATCCCTCGCAAACATATATCTCACCTTGGTGTATCCGTGATTCGAGGGCACGCAGAGGGCCGCCACGCTCAGTGCCGTGCGCCCGTCGCTGTCTGCGTGATCGATCTCGGCGCCGAAGTCCAGCAGGTGCTCGACGATCTCGCTGTGGCCCATGTAGGCCGCGGCGATCAGGGCGGTGCGGCCCTCGTCGTCCGTGCGATTGACGTCGGCGCCGCCCTGCAGCAGGGCGCGCACGATCTCCTCGTGGCCGCCCCAGGCGGCGGCGCGCAGCGCCGTCCTCTGGTCCCAGTCGGCGCAGTCGACCATGGCGCCGTGGCCCAGCAGCAGCTCGACGACGCGCGTGTGACCGCCCCAGGCGGCCGCCCGCAGCGCCGTCCAGCCGTCGCAGTCGGCGTGATCGACGTTGGCGCCGGCCCCGAGCAGCACCTTCACCACGTCCGCGTAGCCGTGGCGAGCGGCGAGGTTCAGGGCCGTCTGGCCGTGGCGATCTGTCGCCTCGAGCTTGGCCTGATAATGAAGTTGATAGTTGATTAATTAATTGTTCTCTAACGAACTTTTCAGTGTAGTTAATAGGGCAGTGTGAATAAAGAAAATTGTTCTATTGTAAACGTTTTGGCTAAGGGCTTACAGTCTTAATTATGAAAAAAACCGCTGCCAATGTATTGGCAAGTAGCTTCCTCATACTTTTTTTTAACTTAAAAATAATTTGAAAATATTAATATCATCTTTCTAATTACGAAAGCGAAACGAAAGCGCCTCTCAGCTTTATCGGGTTTCTCAAACAAACAATGCAAAAAAAAAAAAATTTTTTTCTTAAATAGAAAACGTTACGTTTATCGATAAATGAATTTTTCTGGCTTCGTCCCTATGTCATAACGAAAAAAATGAGCCCTCCCCCGTCACGATACGTGCTACCGTTATCAAGGAATCACTCTACACAGCCATACAGCCGCATACACCCACATACATTCCAAAATGTGTCAAAAATTCGATCTAGTATATAGAAATATCATTAAATATACCCTACGATTACTCTATAAAAAAGCCGAAATGGAGCCCATCACAAAGCTTCCTCTATGAGGAAGCAAAATTCTTTTGCTATAAATGAGATTACTACATGAAAAAGTTTAGAAAAATATTTCAATGACAGAATCAACCTACTTGCTCCGGTCAGACTAACATACTTGCTCCTATACTTTTTTCGAACAAGAAGAATTCACATAATTTTGAATTACTTTATTAGTTATAATAGTGAGCTTATACCGGGTAAAATGACTAATTAGGACAATTTTTGACTTTTCTCACTTATCGAAATTTTGCGCAAGATTAAAAAAATTGTCTGAAAATACATTTTGGTAGAAAAAATGTTACCTTTTGAATGAGTACTTGTACGAGATAAAATTATGGCTAATAATATCTCTCAAGAAATGATTAAAGAAGAAAAATTTGAACTAACTAATTAGAAACTGAGCTTAGAAATCAGTTACATTTTTTGAGCACTAAACTATTTAGACGTGTTTCGAAATATATGAGGAACCTTTTGACATTGTTGAAAATTGAATTAAAACGTTTGAATACTTTTCAAGATTATTACACGGGGCTCAGAACTAAATTGACAATTTTACCGGCTATTCCAGTTATGCGCCGGTATAGGGTTATAAATCATATTATATTAATGATTTAACGTTTACTGAGCGGAGATATAAATTTTTATTGCTTGAGATTGTAATTTTTATTTTCATTTACTTAAATAATATCTCACGGTGGCCTATAACTGACTATTTCACCCTATTACTTTGTATAACATTAGTGTGCTTGTAGTACAATCATAAAAATGTATACTAATATTCCAACGAGTTATTTCACTTCTACTTGCAAATATTCAAATCGACAGAATTATGTATATGGTACAACGTCTAGATGTAGGTATATATACCTGTGGGCAGGCTGCGATAGCCAAAGCCAGAAGCGTCGCGTTCCCGTCCGAGGCCAGATTGTGCAAGATCGTGCGGCCGCACGAGTCCGTGGCGTTGATGTCGCCGTTCTCGCCCAAGAACTCGGCCAGCGGGCCCAACGGCGACTCGTCCGTCGGGCTCGAGTTTCGGGAGATCTGCAAGCAATTTCGTTCACGAGTTAGCGCCCAATAATTATAAAAACAACGAGTTTTAGAACTACTACTCACGTGACTAGAAGGTGCCAAGTGATCGTACTCGTCGTCGTCGTCCTGCTCGGGATGGTCGAGCTCGTCCGGGGACTTTTCCGCGGGCTTGGCGCCCGCGTCCACCAGCAGCTTCATGAGCTTGGCGTCGTGCTTGGGCCAGGCCACGCAGTCGCTGCTGTCCAGGTAGCAGGTCTCGAACGGCGCGCCGCTGTCGATCAGCCACAGCAGCTGAAGCGTATAATTGTCCAACGTCGTCGCCGTCGTTGGCTTCAAACTCGTCGTCGTCGTCGCGATCGCTGCCGCCGGCTCATCGGTCGCCGCCGCCGCCGCCGTCGTGGTGGCGCAGCTGCTCGTCGTCACCGAGCTCGCCGTCACCAGGGACTTGATCCTCAGCTGGTGCTGCTGGTGCTGCTGCTGACGGTCGCGGGGCTGACGCGCGAAGCCCGCCTGCGCGTGCTGGGCCAGGGCGCAGCACTCGGCCGGGTCGAGGCCGGGGCCGCGCTGTGCGTAGTGCACCGCCAGCCGGGCGTGACCCTCGCTCGCCGAGCACAGGTACTTCTGGGTGCAGTGCTTGACGTCCACCAGCCACTCGGCGAAGCTGTGATGGAAGAACATGAGGGCGCCGTCGCGCGACACCGAGATCACGCGGCGCAACAGGTGCAGCAGCTGCTTGAACTCGTCGGGTCCGAGGGTCGTCGTCGGCTGACCGGGGCAGCAGCGCACCGCCTCGTACAGCACCCGATGCGTCACGGGCAGCTTGGCCGCGAGCACGACGTTGAGCAGCGGCTGGACGCGCAGGAACTGCTTGCGACTGAAGAGCCGCTGGCACAGCCAGAGATACAGGCCGTTGAGCGTGCCCGGTATCTCGCGCACCTCGCGCAGCACGATGAAGCTCTCCGCCACGCCGTCCAGCACCTTCTCCAGGTACAGGAAGCAGCCGTTGCTCTTGATGTGCAGATGATTGAGCATCTCGGCGGTGTCGCGCGATATGTGCTGCCTCAAGGCGTCCTCCTGGTCGAGCCTCGCCAGGATGTACTGCTGCACGTCGCGTATCACCTGGGGCTTGCGCAGATCGTCCAGGGCGATCTTCTTGAAGCCCGTGAAGAGCCGCGAGACCTGCTTGCTCTGGCGCCGGGCGCTGCAGACGAGCAGCAGCCACTGCGGGAACAGATGGTGATGACTGGCCAGCAGCTCGGCTATGGTCTTGGACGCCTCCTCGAGAGGTGCTTGTTGCTGCTGCTGCTGTTGCGACTGCTGATCTCGGTCCTCTTCGGTCTCGGATTCGCGTTTCGAGCCGTTGATGCTGTTGTTATTGTTGTTGTTGTTGTTGAGGGCGGACAGAGCCAAGACGCTGGCGGCTGACTGTTTTCGACAGAAAAAAGAAATTATGAAATATTGAAACATTGTACGGTAGGCGTGAGTTCTAAAACTTTAATGAAACGATTGTCACGACATCATCAGAAGATATATCAAGACTAGATTCACATATCACTGAAATTTTTTTGAAATAAAAATTATATAAATATTTAGCACATCTTTTATTTAATTAAAAATTATACTTTTTATAAGAAAAATTATTGCATTTTTAAGAAAATCTTCAGTTTAAGTATACCGAAAGTCATCGGTTTCTTCTAAAAGTGTTTTGCATGAGAACTTCGTTGAAAATTAATTTCACCGTGTTTGTTTATTATTTTTTTACTTTAATTATGCAACAAATCCAAGAAAATTCAATTATCATAAAAGAAATTGCCGCTAGATGGCGAGGGCCTTTATCCGCAAGTGGCAAAGTCAATATAATTGTATATAAGTAAAAGCTAAGACTGTGACTTCATTACAGTGCTTTGACTATGACGTTCACAGTTCAAATATTTTGGTTCAATTATTCTACAAAACGACAAAATGACTCACGAATAGCGGGGTCGCTCCCGGCAGCGGCGCCTCGTCGATCGAGTCGACCACCAGCATCAGGCAGTCCTTGGGCGGCGCTATCTCCAGCAGGGGCAGCAGCACGGCCTTGCGCAGCGCCTCGTCGGGATTCCGATCCAGCACCTCGGGCTGCAGGGCCGCCTGGATCTCCGGCTCGTTGCGCAGCTTCTCCGCGTAGGCCTCGGCCACGGCTTCGCGCGACGACACCCGCGAAGAATGATGCGTCTGCTGCGTCGTCGTCCCTCCGTTTTCCGCCGCTGCTTTGTCATTTTTCGGACTCGTCTGCGTCGTCTGCGTCGGCGACGATCTGGTACGGCTTCGCGTGTCCGGGGTGGCTCGCAGCAGCTGAGCCACGAGACTGCGCACGAACTGGGCCGGCGCGAGACTGACCTCGCTCCGCGCCTGACAAAAGTGACGGGCCAACACGCGTCGATTGAGGGCGCGCTGATGACGCGCCCCGGGTCCGCTGGAAGGCCAGGCGAGCTCGGCACAGAGGGCTGTCTTGCCGCTGCCCGGGCCGCCGACGACGAGGGCGCCGCAGGCTTTGGAGGCCGGACGCTGCTCCAGCAGGTGGGCGAGCTTGAGGAAGGCCCACTCGCGGCAGTAGAAGCGTTTCTTCTCGATCACGGGCGCTGCCATGTCGATGCTCGTTGATTAAACCTGGAAATTTATGGGCAGGTTTTAGTGCGAGATCGAGTGTTGAAATTTGACGTAAACGATTGATGAATTTCATTCGAGGTAATATAATATTACATTGCTTGTACAAAGCATTATATTATTTTCAAGACAGAAATGAACGAAAAGGACTCAGTTCTGTACTCGATCAAAATTCGCTTATTATTAAAGCCAGCATTCAACGCTAGATGGCTAGTACTTTTCTGTAATGAATCTGCAAGCGGAAAAGTAAAACTAAGTGGATATAATTCGAATAAAGTAAAAGCCTATTATCTTCAATCTATTTTTTTTACGCTCAGTGACTTTTTCTGTAATTTTTTCAACGTGTTATGGGTCTTTAAAAAACTTTGCACATGCGTAATTTGACGTAAAATTTAATGCCGTAATCCGAGCTCAGATTTAAGATTTGAAACTTAGATACGAAATTACGGTTATAACATCAACTTTGAGAATTTATTTTCGAAGTGTTGCAGTATAAAATTCAATACGATCAATGATAATCATTGTTGTAGAAGTAACTTAGGGAGTTCTCACAGATTTTTCGAATCATTTTTTAAGCAAAGTTGCGTCCACAAAGTAAAGTGTTTATAAAAAATGAGATAGATCTGCTTCTTTAATAAGTTAATGTTGACATTGATTGTAGCGTACTAAGACGCATGAAAAAGTAATTTTTATTCTTGAACATTTATCGCGTATCGAAATTATTGCCTATCGCAAGTGTCCTAAAAACTTCTGTCTCAAAATATCGATCTCGTTTATGCAGCGCATTCGATCGACCTATTAATGAAAAAGAAACGGAGAATAATGTGAGAATTAAATGCAGGTGAAAATTAATTAAAAGTCATTAACGTCGATCTCGATTAGATATTCATGCAACGCCGAATACTCTCGATATACACTATTAAAATCCAATCGATCAATCCAATCACACTTTCGAATAGTATAAGCATTCATCTAACTCGTCGTTGATTAGATAAAATAAAAGCAACGCGCAATGTTTTTTCCAATTATTACCTCAAATTAGTTAACGATGAAATTTTGTATTTATGTATGACTTAAGTAAAAACTCGAGATGTAAACGTCGTTCACAATAAAACGTAAGATGACGTCAAGAGATATACAGGGATGCGCATCGCCGCTATATATCTACATCGTCGAAAACGTTATTTCCGCATAAGCCGGCGCCGCGACGTCTCTCTCTCTCTCTCTCTTCGTCATCGTCGTGCTGCTTTTGTATAATATGATATAATATTGGGCGCAAACCTACCCACACGCAGACACGCGATTCTGTCGTCGTCGTCGTCGCCCCCGCGAGACAGAGAGACAGAGAGTGAATCAGATTTTGTCTATTACGAGCCCTCCCCCCCTCCGTATATACGAGCCGAGCGAGCGATCGATCGATGCGTTGCGTGCGAGGCGACACGCGCTTATCTCTCGATCTTCGCGGTGTATGAATGCGGGAGAATACATTGCTTTGCTAAACATTATGCGCGACATTCCGCGACGCTGATACACGCCAATTGTGTGTAGGTTTAAAAAAAAAACAAGAAGGAGGAGGAAGGGAAATATGTTCAACACATCTCTCTTCGATCCTCGCGAGCTGCATCGGCGGCGCGCATTGTTCCGTATATGAATCATACAAACTAGCAGCAATGATCTATCCTTACCTTATGAATAAAAGACGCAGTTAGAAATTTCTCTCTTCTGCTGCAGTATTTCGTCTGTATGTCTCTCGAGCGTATATATATACCGTATATTTCTGCGAATATATTCACTCGGGTGGCGCTGGGCCAATCGAAGCTTCCGAGCAGGGCCGTTGCTGTTCGACAACCACCACCACCACCTCCTCCTCCTCTTCGGCTGCTTCTCTACTGCTGCTGCTGTTACTGACGATGATGATTTGGCTACTGCGATTCGCCATAGTAGCCGAGACAGAAGAGGCGATCCTCCCTCCGCCTCGCCGATGTTTGTCGTCGTAGTCGTCGTCGTTGACTCGCTAATACCACTCCAGCGGCTATAACGTCGTCGTCTCTGGTGCTGCTGCCGATGTTCCTCGCGTGGGCGTACATATATATATCTGTAACAATCGTTAATGGACCGAGCGGTTAATCATCTAGACAGAGAGAGAGATGTACGAATATTTTTTTCTTCTTTATTATTATTTATTTCGCTCGGGCACTTTGCTAGATTATCGAAAAAAACATTGCGAAACCCAAGAGAGATATAGCGTAATGCGAGAAAAGATTATTTACTTTTCTGAAATGATAAATCATCGGGTGTGTAACCCAGTAAACTAATCGTATGTATACATACAAATATATACACTCACGACGAGTTACAGTTGATCAAATAATTATTTATTACGCGACCCAAATCGAGACAGATACAATTTGATAATTTTTTTTTTTTTTGAGCGAGCCAAAATTTTCATTAGTCGAGTTGTTTCTATCTTTTTTCTTCTGCAGCGATAACAGAGCAGTAAGAGAAGAGCAAGAGAAACGAGACGAGGAGAATATCTAACGAACGAGGTCAAATTTTAATTACGCGAAATTTCCGTCGTTTCAAGCGCTTTGCAGAGCAGAGCTGCTGCTGTATGCATGTACGAAAATTCGCCTCGCGCGCGCTAACTAGGATATAACACGATTTCCACGTCCGCGCGCGGTAAATCTGTTTTCATTTTTTTTTTTTTTCATCCTCCAATGGCAAATAGGTCACGTAAAAATTCACACACGTGCTGCTGCGAGAGAGACATGTATACACGACACATCTGTCGCTGTTGCTGCTGTTATATACGTATAGAGAAAAAGAGATCCTTTAAAGCCGCGCGATGCAAAAACAGCGGAAATATCGCATGCGTGCGTCAAGGAGCCTAGCAGCTCCTATACATACATGTATAATTATACGCGTACATCACATACACATCCAACGATGCACCACCACAGAGCACAAGCATCCGGACGGGGGGGTATCTTCGACGAGTACCACATGTATGTAAAACCGCATGTGTATTGGACGACTTCCTCGCGGGATGAATTATTTATTTGCTTTACAGCTGCGCACATGTCTCTGTATGTACGCGAGCTCGCAGCTCAAAGACAATCGAGCTGCAAATTGCGGATATACAGGTTGCGGATGAAAAGAGAGAAAATAGAAAAAAAAATAGAAGAAAAAAGAAAAGAAGGAAAGACGAGGAAAGAAATTAGCTTCTTTTGTCGATTCTCTCTCTCTCTTTTTCTCTCGCTATCTCGCGTGTGCACGCGCGGGCGCGCTCAAGCACACACGCGTGCATCGTATAAAGAGGAAAAGAATGAGAGTCGAAAACGAAACTGCAGAAATAGAGAAGAGAGCTAGCTAGCTGTAGTGTAGCTAGCGACGACTCGCCGATTGCGCGCCGCGAGGGTAGGAGAGGTTTTCTTTTTTTTTTCTTTATCTGTCTCTCTCTCTTTTATTTTTTTTTTTATTTTACGGTAAACAGTACACACAGTAGCCGCAGTAGCAGCAGCAGCAGTAGAAATGAGAAAGAGTGTGTACTTTTAATTTAGCTCTCTTATTCTTGACACAACGATGCAGACGCAACCGCTGTATAAGCATTTACCAGGTACACATAATACACGCCGCGGAAAATCCGGTTTGACGGTTAATTAAAAGGGTTTTCCGTGTATAGTCTCGTGCAGCACCAGCCGCTCCTATATATACATACGTATATAAAAGAGACGAAGAAAAGAATACGTAAGTCGAGCGTGTATACGTATACTCGGGGCTGTCAGCTTTTATATCGATATAAAAGTCGACGACGGATCGATATAGTTTTTTTTTGTTGCATTGGGTCACTGCACTCCTCTGTGTGTGTGTGTGTGTGTGTGTGTGTGTGTGTGTGTGTGTGTGTGTGTGTGTGTTCACGACTCTTGGTTCGTTGCTTTTTGCCGAATTAAAAGCTGCGAGCGCTCGGGCGGGTGGCTTCAATTATCATGCGAGACTCGAACTGTGTGCCTCTTTCTTTTTTTTTTCTTTTTTTTTGGGCACTCGAGTATCTCAATTAGCTAACGATTCGCAAAAGAGAGAGAGAGAGAGAGAGAGAAACGGAAATAGAGCGCGCCACACGATTAAATAAGTCAATTATAGAAATTGCGCGCGATAGAGAAAGGAGCTGCTGCTGGATATAACTGCAGCGGGCGCACCCGATAGAAAAAAGAAAGAAAGAGAAGTGCAGTGCTGCTGCCGCTTCTGTGCGACTCGACCAATTTGCATGAATTCCGAAAAGCGATCGAACTTTTCCCAGGGCGCAGTACGATTCGAATTTTCCCTCTCTCGGCACTCGGAATTATACGCAGTCGATTTTGGTGTATTTTATACTATTTCGCTCGCAGCTCGAGACGATCTTTCTGTGTCTTTTTGTACCGATTCGAAAAAAAAGTACACGTCGTTTCGCTCGGACCTAGATATTACATCGACGGTGCGCTGCTGCGCGCATAAAGAAAATTGAGAGATGCCAGAGTGTCCGTCGCCGCGGGTTTATATCTACATGCATACAACCACGCGGAAGTGGGTCCACCGCATCCATATTTCGCTTGACCTTTTTTTTTATCGTCTTTCGGAGAGCGCGCAAAAGAGATAGATGCATACACACGCCGCATCTTCCTCGTCTTTTTTTCCTCCTTCTCTTTTCCTCTCTCTCGTCGTTCCATATACTGCGCTGTACACGTGTACACTTGCTGTACATATACACTTGTGCGCGCGGCGGTCGTCGTCAGTTTCTATGAAAGTACCACCATATACATACACACACAGAGAGAGAAGACATGAAAAGAAGACGAAGATGAGCGAGAAGACGCAGAAGAAGAAGAAAAAGTAGGCAAGAAAAAAATATAGCTCAACTCCACGTACGGAGTATAACAGCGCGACGTTTCTGCAGGTTTATCTTCTTGCGGTTTATTTTTTATTCAACGTCGGGGCTGCTGCCACTGCTGCTTTTTTGAGAGGGGGGGGGGGCGGAGGGAGAAGGTCCCGAAAGCTCGAACGAGGCTCTTACATATCTAGCAGCAGCCGCGCGTGCCACATGCACGAGTACGTGTGTGTATACCTTATGGCTGCGAAAAGAGTAAGAAAGAAAGAAAGTAAAGAAAAAAAAGTAAGATGTAAGAAAGAGAGAGAGAGAGAGAGAATTTCGCAGTCGTGGAAACGTCGGCACGATTTCTTCCTCTTCTTCTTTTTACTCGAGCTTGCGATATTCGCAGCTCCGTATACCGTATGAGTTTATTATTATATATCTTATCGATCGTTCGCAAGCTCGTACACATTTTATACACACACACACACACGTACTATATATCTATATACACAGGGGTATATGGGTAAAAAAAAATTTTGTTTGCAAATCGTCGTAGCGCGCGATGCTGCGTCTGTCGTGTAGATAACGCACACGCGCACACACATCCACGCGCTCGACTCGACTCCGGGGGGAATGGTGCAACTTTTCTAATTCTGTTTACCCACGAGATTTTCGCGTTTCGCGCGTGAAAATCGGGCCATCGTGTCGAATCCAGCACGCGCGCCGTCTGTGCATGTGTGTGTGAGTATACGCGGGTAAATTTCGCGCGCTCTAAAAGTCAAAATTACGTTATAGTACGTATGCTAGGTAAACATTGCAGGGTGTAGTATAATCCCGGAATACGAGGGCGATAGGACACGTTATAATTCAATAATAAAGCGAGCGAGCGCACGAGCCGTGATCCTCGAGTCGAATAATAATAACGTTATTAATAGCTGCTGCTGATGCTGCTGCTGCTCTCGACTCGCAATTTGACCTAAAATAATCCTTTGCTCCGCTCTAATGGAGGATCACATGCGCAGATGTATAGATTATTATACATATTCAAGCATCGCTCGCGATCGCTTTGATAGTGTACAGATACGTATAACATATACTTGCACGCATAGACTAGCTGTACGTAGCGTCGCTAATGGTATATAGAACTTTGACTTTCAGTACACATGGCTATATAACGTCGATGCCTGCGTTAATGAACTGCCAAGTGGCACTTGATGTTGATTTTGAGAATAGGGCATGATTATACAGGCAAGTGAAAAGCCCCGCACTAATTTATCTAAAGCTTGTATCGATTAGTATGTGTGTGTTATCTCTCTTTTCTCATTTTTATTTTTTTATTTTTTTTTTTGAATAAAGGATCAAGGCATAAATGATCAAAGCTGATTCGCGATAAATTCCTTTTTCTTCTCTTTAATTCATTCGCTCCATTTCGTGCATCCGACTAAATAGATCAAGACGCGCGAGGAAGTATAAGAGATGAAATTTTTCAAGCGTTTTTAAAACGCCGCCACACTGCTACTACTGCTACATGGCTCGGCAGATATACGGAGAGAAAAAAGAGAGAAATTAAATAAAATAACTAAAAAGTAAAAAGATACACTGTGAAGCGGCGAGAGGTAGCCAAGTATTTTCGCAATTAAGAACTGCTACGTTTTTTTTGTGACTGTATAGATGTGTGAGTGTATGTAATTTTAGAAAAGAAAAATATCAAAGTAGACGTAAGCGCAGAATGGCAGAAGATAGAGAAAGAGTAAAATGCCAGGGCACAAAGAGCGAGTCAAGAGAGAAGGAGAGAACTCGCAGTGGGAGGTGCACACTGTGCACAGTGCACACACACACATACACGTATAACTAGAGCCTCGCTTTTGATGAGGAGTAATCAAGTTATACACGCCGACGTGCATCCAGTATATATACCGTCGTACTGATACAAGTGTAGCGGCGTCGTATACCCACACATGCATGTATAAACTCCATACGAGTGTGTGTGTGCGTGGATGAAAAAATAGGCGCTTTTACACGAGATAAAGGTAGTGGTACGTTTTAGAGGCTGCTAGATTGCAAATGACGTTACGCGTCAGGAAAAATCATTTTTAATAAATTGTCCACGACGAATAAATAAAAAAAAATATATAGGCAACGCGATATCACGTAATATACATATTGCCGCAGAAAGCTAGAGAGAGAGAGAGAGAAAAAAAATGTTTATACGTATACTCCGCGCAGCTGCATATATGCAACAGCGATTT